CTTTCAACACTACGGCTGCACAACTGTCTTCTCCGTTTGAGTTGTCAGGTTGCCCCTCTTGCCAGTTTGTGAAGTTGTTTTCTCCAGCTTCTGACCAATGCCAGAGTTTAGGTCTGCTGAGGCCAATCCATCTTTCTGTTTGGTTCCCCTTTGACTGTACGTCAGAATTCACCTTCGAATCAGGGATTGTGGCCAGAAACCAACCACTTTCTGTACAACTGGTTTTGGCGTCATTCCAAGTCATCTCTCCTTCACCTTCATGTAACTTCTCTAAATATACAACTGTGGAGATACAAAAATGAATAAGTATTATATTATAGTAGCAAAACTAAACGATTGTCAGAGAAAAAATGTATGTGAGCATCCAAAGCAAAGTAGGCCTATTACCCGTGTATACATTTGATGAAAATTGTCCAAAATAATTAAAGTACAAACGTTTGGTGTACAATTTGGCCATAAATGTAACTTTGACTCCACATCGTGATAATGCATAAAAATGCAAGCTAAACAACGAAAACGTATGGAACAAGGACCTCCAAAATGTGTAGATTGTGGAAAATAAGCGCTGGAAACATCATATGTTATTGCAGTTGTAAAATGTAAGATATTCTGCTAAGTAAGACGAGATGTCAGATAAATCTAATTGAGTTGAACCAGAAAGGAGAGCACTGAAATATCAAAACGATGCTGATTACCATCTTGACAAACAAAGGGTTTCTTAAGTGAGCAGTTGGCAAAGCCCCAGCGTCCATCATTGTCGATGGTCACACAGTACTCGTCAGTGTCAATGTTATCTGGCTGAACATTTCCCCATTCAAAATATGTGGCTGTTTCTCCATCCACCCAGGTCCAATCTGAAGCTTTCTCAAACAGTCCGATCCAGGCCTTGTCTGTGTACCCCGCAGTCTGAATGTTCATCATTGAGATGTTGTTTTCCAGGCTTTGTATTTGGGCCAGTTCATTTTGCTCCATGAGGCAGTACTGATATGCTTCATCCCAGGTTATGTTCTTATTGATAAAGAGGTAGTCCTTTCGAAAAGAGGTGCAGGGGGTGCAGAAGCCTGAGGAGCAAGGAAGATTGAAATGAAAACGTGATATGGAAAGTCCAACAGAAATTAAAACGTTGTTTTACTCACTTTTTTTACCAAATGTGATGTTCAAACATATACAGACCAAATACCAAAAACACCTCACAGCTGACAAATAGGATGATTTGATGGTTTGTTCCCATAATCTCATAATCTATCATTCTTCACATGATCTCACCTGAGAGCAGGAGAATCACCATCAGAGTCTCGTCCATGCTGACTTTAACTGTAGATAAAATAAAGATCCAGCATGTTCAATTAGCACTCATATACTTAAGTACAAGCATCAATATATAATTTAAGAACAAACCATAAGAGTTATGCAGAATGGCCCATTTCTGATTTATGTATAAGATTAAATATAGAATATAAATATTGATTCATTAATGAGTATCTATATATTGCCAGATGGCTTGTGGGTGACAACTACACACTCCTTTGACAAATTAAAATTGTAATATTTATGTTGTTCTCAGAAAGAACACCTAGAAAAAAAAATACAATTAAGACAAGACAATGTTTATGCTGTCTCTCCTCAGTAATCTTTCCTGTTTCATGTCACAAGTAAAATAAAGAAATTGAAGATAGTTACAGAAACATTTACACTTAATGAAGCTATATTTACTTAGATATCCACTTACCAAATATAGATTTCTTCAGTTGCTTCTTTGGTGTTTTACTACAACTGTGTGTTTGAGGCTGCTTTTATACATTGATGCATATCCGTAGAGCTCATCTCAGCTGCTTGATGAACTTTAAAAGACACCGATTGGATGAGAAAAACTGTGACACAGCTTTGATGAAAAAGTGTTTCCTCTATCACAGTATGAAGACACATTTTTGCTCTGTATATACGTAAACATTTGAAGTGCAGCACACTAGAGTAGAGATAATTTATATATATATATATAGATATCTAAATATAAATATATATATATATACACAATAAAAGCTTTTTTTATCTGTATATGTGCATATATAAGAAATTATTTAAAATGATGTCTGTAGATCTCCAAAACCTTAATTTAAGACAAAGGTTTTAGTTAATTACAGATAAAACGAAAGTCCTGAGAACCAGAAAACAGTAGTCATATATTTATAGAGAAGAGAGTTAAAGGCACTTGATTTTCCTCAAAATGCACCAGCCTTTATTTATATGTTATAAACAACTTAATGTTGTTAAAATCCCAGTTTTTGATCGTATTTTAGGAGCCTAAATTAAAATCAAAAACACTCAAACATCTCTTTATCCCCAAGGGTTTAAAAAGACAAAAAAGGATTATACTGAATATTAATTGTCTCTTTTCAAAGACGCCAGAATTTGAAAATGTCCAACTAACTGCTGCGGCTGACTTTGCATTTGAACACTCTGATGTTTTAATACTAAGTGGAAATGTTTTAGTTAATTCCAACTTTATTTTTGACAGATAATATCAGACGGGAGATTTATGTTTTGCCACATTTACATCATCATCAGCACTGAGTGTATGTTGACGTGCAGTCTATTCTCAGATTTGAATTGACCATCTAGAAAGCCTTGAATTGCAAATGTTCTGAAGCTTGCTACTAGTTTGTGGTTTTAGTGATCAGGTTCAAGAAAATGTACCCGAAGCAATCAAACAAATCAGAAACAATAACAGATGCCTTGTGGCGTTTTGCAACCAGGGTTTCATAGGAAAATGTTGAGCATTCCCATGGCTTGTTTTGGTGAGTAACATTGGTTGTAGGACAGAAAGTTGGATCCTAGATCAGACACATGTGTTCTATTGTTTCCTGTCATTTAAACATGTGATATTTGCCTTTTGTGACACATTCAACATTTTTATTCTGATCTGTTTAAACAGGGTGCGATGTAATTGTAATTCAAATGTTTGAACATTAACACTCAATCACAGTTTAGTTTCTCTCATATTTCTGACACAAAACATCAGAATTTAGTTTCCTCTTTACCTGATTCATTTTCTTCTTCATGAGATCAGAGTGGATGTTGATGTCGTGTGGTCACTCACATTTGAATAAAACAACAAAAAGATTTGGATACAAAGAGGATAAAATGTTTTTGCAGAAAATTCTATACTGAACCAAAAACACCAACCTATCATTAATGACTTTTCTTTTTAATTATAATAACATATTTGAATTGTCTACACTAAACACAGTTATTTCTCTAAAGTGTAATTCTTTACCTGGTTTATAAGTTGATGACATGGAAAAAACCTGCACACACACATGATGATCCTCCACAGGTGTTTTCACTTTGTGCATGATGAATTGCTACGAGTTAGTGACTATTGTGCAGCCTGCTCATGGATCGTTGGACTTTAAACTCGTAAATATTTGCTGACAATTTACATTATAAGAGCTCTGAATACAAACACAATCTCCACTCTTAAAACACTGACTTGAAAAAATAAATATCTGAGAAAAGTATCCTTAGCTGTTTTAAGTGATTTGTTTTATACCCCTTTTTCACTGATATGTACAATAGCTCCTGCTTTTACCATACAACGGTACAATTACTGTATTTAATGTATGTGGAATTCTGCAGCCAGATTTTAGAGGTTTAGAAGTTTTGGGTCTGCAATTTTGGCTTCAAATCTGTGGACCTGCTCTGCATCGAGGTGGTTGTAATCAATCCTAAGATGTCACCTTGTTGTATGTTTAGTGTGCTATGAATACTCATAAGTATAAATGTTATTCTGAAACATATCTTTTAATACAATGATCATACATTCTGAGCGCTTTATCCGGCATTTAAAGGTCCTATGTCATGCTTTTCTGGTTATTACCCGTCCCCTTGTGTGTTATGTAGCTTTTTCTGCATGTAAACGGTCTGCAGAGTCACAAACCCTCAAAGTACACCCTGTAGCGAGTAAAACTCTAACACAGAAAAGACCTGTCTATGCTGCCCCAGAACGCCTCGTTGGAGATTTCTCTTTTTCCATTGTTTATTTCTTGGGTATAGTGACGTAACGTAACGGCTCCGCGGATTGGTCCATTTGGACCAATCCGCGGACTTCCTCACACACACACACTCGGCGGGACGTTGCGAGGCTCGCTGCTGCGAGGAGCGGGACAGTGTGAGCTGGCTCACTGGTGTGGGGTCGGCGAGACAGCGCGACACCGCGGAACTCAGCCTGAGCACACACACAAACTCCCAGCCAGGCTGCGGGTGTGTGTGTGTGTTTCGGGCTGGGTTTCGCTGTGTCTCGCTGTCTCGCAGACGGCCACTGGGCTCACAGGGAGGGGGGGGCAGGAGCTCCAACAAGCCGTTTAGGACAGAGAGTGAATACACATACTACACAGAGTTGCTGTATGAGAAACCAATGTGAGTTTGGAAAATTGCTCAATATAAATCGATTTTAGTATACCTCAACAATGGAATTATGATCAGTAGAAATGGCCATGACATGGGTCCTTTAAATGAAATACCTATGAGAGAAGGCTTTGAGACGAGTGTCTTCTTTAAAAAAAAAAATGTGCAGCTCGGCTGATTTGAAATTCACAAGTAAAGAAGAGTAAATAAGAAAATCTCTCTGAAGAGAAGCTACTTATTGAGTATTGGACAATAAAATCATTCATATTATGCAACAACTTGCGAAGACAAACTACAGGGTTTCTCAAGTGAGTTGAAACCAAGGTGTAAAAATAGCTCCACCCAGTGGATAACAGTCGCTACTACTCTGAAGATTGATATGTGCAAAAATACTTCGATATCAATAAAAACACAAAATACAAAGAGTATTCTTAAGTTGTATTTATTCATACTATGTCATATTTATACTCTAGGTTCATCAGATATTTATATATATATATATATATTTATTTTTTTATTTTATTTATATAGATATTTACATATGGCATTGTTGCCAGTTGAAGAAACAGATATTTCAACAAAATATATGACAACCACATAAAATTCAGTGCTATGCTGAATGCACACAAACTTTGATTAAAAACACAAAAAAATCCGGAAAGTGGGGTAAACAGCAAAAACGTTTACATGTTACTTGGTTTTTCTGCTCCAGAACATGGGCAAATGTAGTGTTGCTGAAAATGGCGTCATCGACCCCCCCAGAAATCACCAGGCAGTGTACAGGCAGTTGACAAACACAAGTAAAAAATTAAATAAAAACACTATAAATGCTGAAACTTTGAACTGATGCTTTCTGAGGCAAGGGGAGAAGATCCAAGTAATAATAGTTTGCATTAAGTACAGCCATGCATTAGCAGCGGTCGTCACACATTCTTCAATACATTTTCTGATAGCTTGCCTTCCTTGCGACATGTATCAGTCAAATATTGGACCAAACAAACATGCGGTATGTAAGGTTCATATTGTCTCTCACATTCACCCACTCATCAGAGAACACACTTTGGAATCGACTAATTGGTTTCTACTCATATCTTTTCACAAAGCCATTTAAGTACTCTTCGTTCTCTGGAGAATAGAAAAGCACCTCCAAGTTTGCAAAACTAAGAACCTCTGACACACATGCAGTTGCGTGTGTTTGTGTGCAACGAGCTATCTCTTCTATAAATACAGTACACGTTTTATATTTTTCTCTCTTCAGACCCCACATGGTCGACTTAACAAAAATAGAATAAAAAATAACTTTCAATACATTCTAGAAACAAACAACTGGGTTGGTCGAACAGGGAGGGTGAGGGGGAAGATAGAGGCAGGTCCTGGTGGAGGTGGTGGTGGAGGTGTGTGGATTAGGTGGAGGTGTGACCCCTCAGGAAGATTTCAAGGGTGCACTTTGAAGGACAGCAGTTCCTCCGAGTGCATGTTGTTGAGTGAACGCAGCTCGGGAAGCTTGAGCAGCAGCTTGGTGAAGGTGGTGGCCGACTCCTCGCCGTGGTTCTGCATCACCAAGTTCCTCAGACCCCGGATCAGTTTGTCCTGCAGGGCCTCGACCGAGTTTAGGTCCTGGATCCCTGAACGATCTGTGCCGGGACAAGATGGGAGAAAAGGTCAATGTCAGACAGAGCAGGGCTTTAATAATGTTTTAAATCACATCAGAGGGACTGAGCTAACAAATTGAATGTGTAGTGCAGTGTGCACCTTGCCCTTAAATACATCAATAGTTGTTTTAATGCTGTGTATATGTCTATATGTTGATTAAATTCAAATAGATCATATATTCTCGCTGCAAGGTTCATAAAGAGCCTTCTAACAGCAATAGTGAATAACTTCTCCATTCCAATGTGCTCTCATACATGAAAATATTCAAAGTGTGTTCTTACCGGCTGAGACGAGCACCACGGCTGTGAAGAGGCTCATTTCCTCAGAGTCCAGCCTCAGCGCAGCCAGCTTCTCGCTGAACTCGCACATGGAGTTGAGCAGCTCGCCGGCGCCCAGCGCCCGCAGCGTGTCAAGGCTGTAACGCTTTCCACTCAGGAAGGTCACCGTCCGCTCGACGGCGTTGAACAGGGAGGCAAATCTGACCATCAGCACCTGGGAGTCAGAAAAGGGAAGGGTTTCTTTAGTTTATAGTTTGGTTTATGCAGGTAAGCAATTTAATCTGTCTGTATAATAAGTCTGATGGTGGTTATATGATGAAAAACGTATTTAATCTCAGTTGTGCAAAAAGAAAAAATGCTGAAGTCTCTTATTTCTGTTGAAACTTTCAGAGCAGATATTATTCACAGCTCTGTTTGGGAGAGCCACATTGGCTCCTAGTGTTTAAAGAGCCTGCAGTGTTTCACTTTAAAGCAAGGATTAAAAAAATGTTGCTTGTTTGCCCTCTTACCTCAAAAGTTCCAGCTTTCAACAGGCCGACCTGGTCGTGCTCTGGGAGGTCGCAGAAGCCCGAGATCCTCTTGGCAAAGTCGACCACATCCCGCACGGCGGGGGTGAAACTCATGGAGAACTCCTCCCAGATCTCCTGGCTCGGCTTGTGGGGGTCCACGTAGGGTGAAGCGTTCATTGGACAGACCTGGAGAAACATTCAGACAGAAGGTCAATCAGAGAGGCTCATCAAAGCTTTAACTTCAGTGGTAAAAGCAGAATAGAAATGTGTTTTTACAGATGAATAGATAGATAGATAACTCACCAAGTATTCTCTATTATTCACGCAGCTGGTTGGTCCATTGTAACCACTTGAGGCCGGTTTTGTGTTAAACCCATGTTGTGTGTTGCTGTCATCTGACGGCTCACACTTCAGGGTGCTGTTGAGCTGCTGAGGCTGCTGCTGGTAAACCTTCTCCTCGCTGTAAGCAGTGTTGCTGACGTGTTGGACTTTACTGTAAGAACCTTGCTGGTACCCCCCAACAACTGCATTGTTGTTCCAGCAGCTCCAGTTCTCCTGCTGCTGCTGCTGCTGCTCCTCCTCCTCCGCCCGGCCGTCACCCCCCACCTCCAGGGCGGCGCTGCTCAACGTGGGCGACGCCTGGCCCTGTCGCTGCGCCCTCTGCTGGCCGAATGCAAAGGCTTCTTGGTGCTGCCTGTTCAAAGCAATGAGGGACTCATCCTCTCCGCTGTCTGACGCGCAGGAGGAGGCGGAGCTGGAGTTGGTGTCCATTGAAACCACAGACTCTGAGTCCTGGGGGCAGTGCGGGGAGGAGGGGTTTGAGCTCGACAGGGAATCGGAAGCAGAGGAGGATGAGGGCGAGGAGCCGGCGTCGCTGGTCATGGCCTCCATGGGAGACGCGCTCTGGTGGCCGTGCAGCATGCTGTGCAGCTGGCTGTTGTTGCTCATCATGTTGTTCATGGCGTTCTGCATCTCCAGCAGCATCCTTTGCTTTTCCCTCTTTGGGATGCGGCCAAATCGGACAGCTGGGAGTAGCAAAGTGACAGCCATTAGAATGTGTCAAGAGTAAATGAATCACACCAGCTCACTGAAACTAAACTTAATATGCTGCTCACCATCTCTGGACATGCCGACAGACAGACACTTCTTGAAGCGGCACTGCTGGCAGCGGTTCCGGTTGATTCTCATGATGGTGCAGTTCTCCATCTTAAGACACTTCTTGTACTGGATGTTTTGCTGGATGCTTCTTCTGAAGAAACCCTAAGGAACCACAAGATGAAAAGCGTTAGTCATGGTGGAAAGAAGATAACATTTTTAGAGGAGAAGTTTTGTTCCAGGAACTAGTCTCACCTTGCAGCCCTCGCATGCATGGACGCCGTAGTGGAAGCCGGATGCCACATCACCACACACCTTGCACAACAGCACCATGCCGTTAATTTCTGCAAAGACAAAGACGAGCAGTGATCAGATATGGCATTTTCTTCTCATTAGCATAATATTTGTTATGATAATATTTGTATATGCTTACTGGTAATGTTGCTCTTGGTAGATGTGGAGGAGCGCCCAGCCTTCTCAATGCCATGGCTACGTTGGTGGCCATTTTTAGTAGGCGGAGAGATATCCACCACCATGCCCACTGCCCTGCTGGGGAGGGAGGGGCGGGACACGGCCTGGGATGTGGACAAATAGCTTCTGCTGGGGCTGGTGCTCATACAGGACTCTGGACTGGAGGCAGAGCCAGAGGAAATATAGGCTATGACTCCTCCTGTGGAGAGGGAGAGACATGACATGTTATAGCAGGTTAATCACTTCCCCATATCTCAAGGCTGTTAATGGAATGATTTAAAAAAAAAAATGCAATGTAATTTACTATATCCAGTATGGCAGTATCCATGTTCTTATGCATTGTTACCAGTGGTTTGCCATTCAAGCACTTTAGACATTTAGACTATCCTATAGCTAGTGTTCTACTATGAAACCTTTAGCAAACACACAATGCAAAATGGGCTATCTTTGGGCTTCTGACAATCTATTGCTGAGGAACAGAAATACACACACCACTATTAACAACCATATCAGGATATTGAATGTTTTTGCAGCTCCGCAACCTATCAAGCTTGTCAAAGTCACTGTGAACCAGAGATGATAGCAGGAGTTTATAAAACAAATTCTATATGCCAAATAAACAAACTCTTGGCAATACAGAAAGTACATGATGTCTGAGACGCCCAGAAAGAGATGCAGTCCAAAATCTGTGTGATCTCTGGTAGGATGATATCTTGCTAAGATTGACCCACTTTCTCACCTCCAGTGCTTACTGGTTGAATAACACCATTACATAACATACATTGGTTTCTGTGCTATGGGAGTGTGCTTCAGACAGGGTCAGTGAAGCACTGGAGCAACATAACAGTTTTGGCAAGAAACGAATGCAGAGGGTTATTGATGGGGTTATGTATTGTTTGGCCAGAAAACAGCTCAGCTGCTTAGTAACAAGAACATGGCATTTAAAGTTTTAGAGGATCAACATCAGGTGGCTGTCAGCTTTGTGTATGTAAAGCTCTGTTTTAGAAAACTTCAAACATGACTTGGGATTTTCCAATCTGCCGATTTTTTTTTTTTTTAAATAATTGCTAATATCAAAAATAGCTGGCAGTTATATTCATCTTGATAATAGTTGCAGCTTTATTATTTGAAATTACTGTAACTTTTTTTTCAAACATTGTTTAAATTGTGTTATGCAACTGCCCTTGGGCAAAAATACTTGAAACTGTTCCAGTTAAAGTGAGAGACTTGAAGCAGGGAAAAATTCCAAACATTCTAGTTATTTTCCATTTAAAGTTTAAATGCACATCTTGAGTGGAATATGTGTGTAAAAGACGAGTGTGTTTTTCCTCATCAACTCGAAAAAAAATGTTTGTGTGCCCACCCACACGTGGACCTGTCATGAATTTCTGTGAAAGCGAAGCGCGAGGAGGGGATGAAGCAGATCTAGGTCACTGGCTGCTGTCTACACGTTCTCACGTGTACCTTGCAGTGCAGCCTCTCGCGGGGATGGCTGTGATACAGCGTGGATTATACAATGTTCTGCGTCATGGGCTCCGCTCCAGCCAATCAGAGAAGAGTTCTAACAGAGCATGCCCGCAGAGAGGAACGCCCCTCGACCAATCAGAGCAGTGTTCCATGAGCGCGTCTACACACGGGCACATGGCTAGGCTACGCTGTCCATGTGAGCGAGGGAAGATAAACACTGTTGTGTCAAATGTAGCAGCGACTCAGCCCCGCAATGGCACTCCTAACTCCGTTTTATAAAACGCGATTTGTGGACACAACAGTAGTTTTATTACAAAACATGAGACATTTTAAAAATATGTTTAACAAGTGTGCCAACATTTCCTGACAGGTTATGATGCTGCACTACAGCAAAAATAGAAAACAGTTTCAATGGCAGGACGCCATTCATTAGTGCTTTGCCCTCCAAGAAATACTTTCTTAATTCCTGGACGGATTTTAAAATACTCATGATGCATTCGGTGAATTCAACTCATAAATTGATAGTATTTTCATAATTCCATGCCACAAGCCACGGTATCAATACCGGCAAGAAATACATAAAACAACTTGTTGTACTTTAAATATATCAGTTTTATAATAAATTATACATAACACTTCATTTACGTCAATGTTGACACGATCCATGCAATAAAGTTTGCATAGTGCATGCAATGAAAAACTCAGCCTTTGCATTTCACTGCGACAATCGTTATAAAATATTGGTTTCTTACCAGGCTTGGCTGTCCCCATGTCCTCAGGCATTTCGTTTCGAGGAATAGGAAAACAGATATTGCAAAATATCTGTGACGACTGTTGCCACTTTCCCCAAAACACCCACGAAGATATTACAATTGTTTGTGGGTGAGCAGTTTAAAGATAAATCTAATTGCAGTAGTCTATTTGTGGAAATAATCTGCAGGTCCGAGTCGGTGAGAGAGAACTAGCGTCTGAGTCGGAGGAGCTTCCCCTTGTTGTGTGTGACTGCGGGTTATTCAGGAGAACTAAATGTTCTCAATAGTGGGCTCGCCCATGTGACCCATTTTGTCGGCCACGCCCCTAAACCCAGGCGCTCGAGCCACTTTAACCCAGTGACACACTTTGAGGACACCAGGGGGGCGGAGCCAAGCGCCTCGTGGACGTAACGAAGAATGTAACACAGCGCTCACGTTGCAGAGCACAACGTGAAGAAGGGAGAAGCCGGAACAACAGACCACGGTTATGCAGTTCATGGACAATCTTGTCATGTTTGTTGTCTATTGAATTATTTTTGAAGTTACATTCTAAGAAACTACTTTGTCTTTCAAATGAAATGTGTGGTACAGTACATCTAAGCAATTATGGAGACACAATTAAAATACAGACAACATGATCTATTAAATAATAAGATGTATTTTGCAAATTAGGCTTCTAGTAGCTTTAACTAAACTAACATCAGTGATGACAGTAGCTATGCATTACTAAACTATCATAAGTAATTAATATCCAGACGTTATGTGATTTGATTTTAAATATATAAATATCTCTTTTTTATGAAGTTAATTTGTTTGTATGTAAGTGCTTGTGTAAAGCTCTTTGAATTGCCTTTGTGTCTGAAACTGACCTTCACCTTACATTGACTACTTGGAAAAGTAGGTCCTAGCTTTTCCTATTAAATCCAACATGAATCAGTCAAATGTTTTCCAGACCTTTTTTACATTAACCCCCAAGCAACGCTCTTGCTATGCAGATTCAAATAATGTTGTGTTATGTTACTGTGTTTTACTTCTCAGTTTAGGGTTGGAGTAAATAATCTCACTGTTAAATGATAAATCCCTTGTATTAGACTAATGAGAGTCTATGACACCTACGCACAGTTACAGGACTTATATTGAAGACACTGATCAGTACAAAAACAATCATATTCATACACACCGTCACCATTTCTAAGAATTGAAAGTGAAATTGTTTTATTTTTGACTTTGTCAAATCCCCTGGAAGTCCCCAGACTCCCCAAGAAATCAAAGATTCGATGGTTGCATGTCGAAGGATGTAATTGGCAAATTATAGATCAAGTAAAAAGCACTTCATGTGAAACTGCAGTTTGCATAGTCTTTTAAAGAATAGCCGATGTGGTGTAAAGGGAAGGGATTTTACTAAACCCTTCTTAGTAAAAGGATACAGACTGTTGGCCTCCACTCACACCTCCCCATGTTGTCAAATCAGAAGCAAGAGGACGAGGGAGCAATGAATAAATGAGATCTTAACCAGATTGTTATGAAATGTAAAACACAAATTTGCCAACCGAAATCCAAACACACACCTACTGCTGTGATATAACATTGCTAATTGCTACCATCAACAAGTGGTGGTCACGTGCACCCTTGGCATTTGTGGTTTGAAGAGAAATGTTTCCACTCTGATTGGATGGATTACCATAAAAATTGCCACTGGCATTCATGTTCCAACTCAGATGGTGAACATGGAAAACATGCACATGCTGTATTGTTATTGTGATTCTGATGGATACATTTATATGTATTTCAGAGTTTCCCTAAAATATCTAATTGTTAAAAACTCTTTTATCATACACTGTATCTATATATATATATATATATATACTATATCTGACATATTTGAAAGGAACAATAAAGACAATCATGCAGGATCACTGGGATCTGAATTATACTCTGGAATCCAGTCACTGGAACACTTTATATTTGACCTATATCTAAAACGTGAACAACAATCTGTGAACTTGATAACCTAAGAAACCACTATGCACCGCAAGTGTTTCATCAAAACAAGGCTAACCACAGGAATTGTTCTCGAGCTGACATTCTTTAATATTCTTGGCAGCTGTTGTTAGAACACTATGTACTCCGTTTACTCCATCATATTACTTCTTTATGGCTACTGTATCACCAGTGACTTTACTCTCACAGGCTAAAATGTATACTGCTGTGAGCTACTGACACAAAAGTAAATTATTAACTTTTACACTTGCTGACCAGAGGAATTTCACGTTTGAGAGTTGTTATTGCACGTGTACAACATCAGCTGTGTTTGGAAAATAGTAAACCATTACCTTTGGACACTTTCTGTGATGGTACATATAAGCAATTGGGTTTGTTTCAACTGTATAAGACTATTCAAAGAATAGAGAGCAACACTTTGTACGTTTAAAAAACATGTTTATACATGTACAGAGTTAGGTGTATTATTATCTACCAGATTAACCTGTCAGGCCAGTTTAGGTTTCTGTGGTTCACCAGATCAAGAAGCCTGAACACGCCATATGCCTGATGGAACATGTCTTTTGTTTTAGAAAGTTGTACATGTGACTTGATTTGAATGACACTTATAAATGATCTCATGGTTCCTGGCATCTTCGGGTTTGCCAGTGTAACAATCCTTTAAGGCTGCTCTCTTGGCCAGATCTCTCATGGAAAAACAAGAATATAACCTTTACCCGCAAAGAAAAAAGTGAGTTGAATGAAAAAAATATTCTGAGATTAATCCCTTAGGTTTACTTTTTCTAAAGCAAGGGGGGGAAATAAGAAGATAATCCAATTAGATTTCACAAATACTGCTTTACATACTGTTTCCCATTCATACGGGGGGAATGGTTTTAGACTTTCACATGAGAGCCTTCTTAACATTGCCTTCCCACACTGTACTTTATCCCCAGCATATCTGAAAATAAAGGTAACTCTTAGGACTTAGTTTGTTTCTCTTAATGCTTATGTTACACTTTATTGCTTTTCCAATATATCAAAAGCAACTTGATTATGTTTCTGCTTTCTTTTCAGTGGGGATATGAACCTATTCTCAAGGCTTACAGTAAGCAGCTTGTCATGACTTTGCTGTACTGAGTTAACATAAAAAAACGGTATTATCAATGAGGTGACCATCTTAAATTCAATCAGGAGAGACGTTGATGTATGAAATACATATTTATTACCGGGACACATAATATGAAGTAATAATGATTGCCAGAATTATAACAGGTGAATGGAATGGTGTTTGGCGATTAGGCCCCAGTTTGCAGGATAATCATTCAGGAGGGGGAAGAACCGCTCCGATGAAACCCCCCGGGGTCCAGACACTGGTGGTGGTGATAAGTAGGTGGGACCGGTCTGAAGGGAGAAGGTTTAGCTTGGCCCTGTAGGAGACGGGAGGCGAAAGGGGTGGAGGAGGGTTGCGTATTGTCACCTGAAATGACAGCTGACAGAGGGAAGAGCAGATTTAAAGGGATTAGCGGGTGCCACGATAGGCTTGTGAGAATGGAGAGAGGAGTGATTGGTTAGCTGGGGAGTGACGCCCCCGATCACTTAATGAGGGAGGAGAGAATATTGAAATGACATGTAATATGAATGAAGAGCTTGGTCTTCCTGATTGAACTTGCGCTGAGCTTTCATTAGTCAATTTATAATTGTTTTATGAGGCACTGATCATTTGTATTCCCTCCTGGACTGAATTGATAATATAACATATCGCTTTTCCTGTGTTGACACCTGAGGACATGACAGCGTGTTCCCCACCTCTCTGAAATGCATATTTATATTAATAACTGGAGTTTTTATGACCTTACAGTCCACACAAAATGGTGACTGGCTGTGACTGGCATGCGTGTTGTAAACAGAGAAAACTATACATTTTGAATGTAGAGCATTGTGAAAAGTCACATTTAAAATCTGAAGTGAAGAGTGAGAAAGAAAAAGGCGGTTATTTGCAAACAGATTGACAGATTTGTCTTGGCCTTGGCTGCCCTGGACGATGTTGGAAAGGTGACTTCACTTTGATGAAAAGGCCAACTACCCTAACACCGAGTGAAAAGGGTGACATAGAAGGATTATGGTCTTGTGTGCTTTAACGTGGAACAAAGTCTGAAGGAGAGAGTTGGTGCTGGTTGTTTCCTAGATACCAGTGTGGTCATGTAGCTAATGTAGTGATCCTGCTATGCAAAACAGACTCAAACAGTGGCAATTTATATTCACCAAGAATTAGAAACTAAGTCAAAACTGCAATGATGTTACGGCCGGAAAATGATATCATCCGATTAACCCGTTTTCACAGCAATTGTATTGTGATGACCATTAAGTGATGAATCCTTTGTCTTATTTAATGATACATTAAAATGTAATAAACAACATACTAGTATATGGCAGCTCTCATGTGTGGGAGAAACAGTTGAAACGTTTATCGTATACAACCATTTTGTGATTATTTGCTAAACTGTGATATACATAGGGGAACATGTCTATAGCCTATCTGCCACAGGTTACAGCTCTTCCTGCAAAAGGCAGAGTTGTGTTGACATTACCAATGGTGCTTTGATATGATTTGAGGCAAACATTCAAAGGTAAAGGAGGCATTATTTTTATATTTTTATTAAGTAGATATTTTGACGGTAAGCCATTGAATCCAACTGTTTATTTGATGCTCGGGAAAGTTCTTGAAACAGTCGAGCAGTCGAGGAATGTGGCAGCCAGAAGACAAACTGTACAGATTGTATCACTAGTCTTACTTTATCTGTACTTTAACACCTCTATTTAACATTTACAGCATTATATAAACATATCTTTATATTGCGTTACAAACTGTGGTTGTAAGAAGATAAGGAAAGGTTTTAACAATGACATTTTTTTATCACCTAACAACTTTATTATGTACTTTATGTAACATCTCTTATGAACACGTTTTATATTACTACAACTGTTTTCCTCTCTTGTCATCATGGCAATATTACAAACCAACCAATTCTGGCAGTCAACAGAAGGTATTATACAGCAGGTTTAGACAAATGATATCTGTCTATTATTAGTGTGCTATAATCCATTAATTAAGTGTTTATGATACCTATCATTTAATGAGCCATCTACTCACACCACAACATTAATTACAATAGTTAAGTGCAACTTGTTATAATAATTGACGTGTTTTCAGCATTACTGTAAGTGATTACTGTTCACTTGTCCAGCAGGTTTGCATGTGGAATCGACCCTTTAATAACAATGTAAACAAAAGAGAGACGAGACTTCCTTTCCATTGTGTTCCTTTATTACCATATTTGTGGAGATAACTTAATCAGGAAGCAAAAAATATACCAGACAATAAAGTACTACAAATCTGAGATAGAAATAACCCCCCAACACAACAACCCGCAGCCCCCCACCCCTCCTCCTTCTCCCCCCCCCCCCCTTCTTCTTCACCCTTCGTCGTCTTCTGTGGGTTTATGTGGCGTATCTCTTCGTCCACTGTTTGGCTGTTCGGTCATGCTCCACTCTGTTAGTCGTGTACTGGGTGGCGATGCTTCCCACCAGGGGGTCGGCTGAACGGGAAAATAGGTTTCACATTAAGTTGCTATGCACTTAGAAATAAAACAACAGACAGAGAAAAATACACTAAAGGGTTTAAAAATAAGTCTCCCATTACCATTTTGTTTTGTTGAACTTTTATTTACTCATTAACAAGAATTAATTTTAGGTGCAAAGCAAAATCAAGTGAAGGCTTTGGGTGGCATGTTAGGAATATTAATACTGGTGTCACTACCTCAACTTACCCGTTTTGAAAACCTCTGACAGGAACTTCTTTAATAACATTTTGGAGTACATATTTTCTACCAAAGCATTATCAGACAAGTCCCGTCCTGTCACAACGTTTTAATAAAGCAGCACTAACTAGACATCGAATGCAAAACTAAATGAACTTTTGTCTGTGGCCCCTGGTTGGCAGGTAAAATGCAAACTTGCTTTCACTCTTACGAGCAAACGGCATTTAAAGAGTACGATATAGGATGTCCAGATGAGATGAGAGGGTTTCCTGTCAAGGTGGCAGCACTGACAACATTTTACCAGCAAGAGTTTCAGATTACTGTTCTAAAACCCTGGAAATGCTATTAAAAAGGGAGCTCGAAAGTGATTCAGTCATCAGATGACATTCTGAAGGCACTTTAGCTCAAAGTAGGATTTATTTTCCTTATTCTCCTGTCTCTCTTTATAAAAATATACTTGATGTGACACGGAGCGAGAAGTAGAGCGTAAATAGAGAACATTTGAAGAAAGCCAGATGAAAAAATGAAAAAAAGCTTCCCTTGAGTATAACTTTCTACCACTACCAAAGTTGTATGATAGATGCTTGTTGCAGCTTGCTCAACTCATAAATCTAACTTTGAACTTGTATAGTTGACCTCAGACACTGAACAACTGTTTCTTAACGCCTCTGCTTCACTTGCTCTAAATACTGAGCGTTGATGGACAGTTCAGCCTCACCTGGGTTACAGTCTGTGAGCAGGGAGCAGATGGACAGCAGCACCTTGGAGATGGTGAGGGCGGGGCTCCAGTTGTCCTTCAGGATGTCCAGACAGATCACCCCCTGACTGTTGATGTTGCAGTGATATATCCTCGTACGGAAAGTTACCTGCAAAAACAAACGGTTGCGTTCACAGTCAGGGGGAAAAAAACATTTCTTATATTGTTCATCGACATATTTGACCACGACAAAGACGCTAAAATCAGTTAATGATCCTAGAACAAAAGTCTGCCTTGCTTTGAAGCTTTATCTATTAATTCTCCAACACTATCGTAAAAGCTTTGATTTAAGTGGTCACATGTCAGCTAAACATTTTTGATAAATGTAATATTAAATTGTTATAATATATTGTTTATAGATGTTATATTAAGACATGAGTTATAGAAGGTCACTAGGTAACTCATACAGAAACACTTCCAGTATGAAACCTGCAGTCAATGCTACACTGAACATCTCTACCTTACACACAGTCTATATCATATATACAGTCTATGGTCTATATGCAGGACATGAAAGCCCTCTGGTGGATGAATAGAGGTACTTCTGAATGCCAGGAAACACTTACTAGACAGCAAAATACCTCTGCTTTTACACAAACATGAATAACTTTTAAATAAAAAGGTGTGCATTGACCTGCCGAGAAAGATTTTTTCTCAGTTTTTAACAGTTAATGTTCTGATGAAAAATTGAAAAGTGAGCTGTGGAAATATCAGTGTAGATCTGCAGAACATGTGGAGTCAAATAATGCTTTCATAAAGACCGTTTTTCACACGCCGCTCTGATTCTCAGTGGTTTGTGTGGGTATTTTTAAATCATGGTTCACCTTTACCTCTCTAACTTAACTAGGCTATTTCCTGCTGATGTTTACACAGTGAACCAAACTTTCCATTCACACAGACAGAAACATAAATCTATCCATAACACGTTATTTTTTTACCCTACTATGTTAGGCTAATGCGGTGTTTCTCAAAGTGGGGGGCGCAGAGGCATGACAGGGGGGGCGCGAGAGACCAGGAGGAAAAATGTTATGAAAAAAAGAAAAACATAATTTGGAAAATTATTGATTCGAAAAGAATGTGATACAGTACAGTACAAGTACGTCTGGGTCTATGTGTTTCATTCAAGCTCGGCTCTGTGTGTGTGTGGAACGAGCCATTTTGTGTGCGAGCGAGCGAGAGAGAGCGCGCACCGGTACCGGAGATCATTGTTGTTAGCTTCTGGTGCTAGCGAGCTACGCTAACGGATATAAGGAGCTTTTTCCACAACAAGGTGGAGGAGAGTCCTCTCCTGTCAGACTGAGAGGCTCAGTGAACTAAAGGACTCTCTGAGTGTTTAGATAGTTCACTTTAGTCTAAGTTATCTCAGTGAGTCTCAAACGGTTTGGTCACGATTTATGTAAACAAGTATTTCTGAGGCACACGTTTATATGATCATTATAGTTATAAAAAAATAAGAGAATAAATGAGAAACAGGTATGAAATACTATATGACAGCAAAAAAAGAATAAAGTTTAAAAGGAGAGTGAAATGTAAAATATCCATAAAGAAAAAGTAAATCTGTTTACAGTTCTGTTTCAAATGGGTGTTGAGATGTATCCATAGATCTCTTCATTTTGTTCTCAAAGTGCACCAGATTGATGCTTTTAACTTCAATATTTAAAAAACAAATATTCCCAGGGGAACATGCCCCCGGACCCCCCTATGTGAGGTCCACACACCACCTATAAAAATACCACTTTACCCCTGCTTACACGTATATGCCGTGAGCTGATTATCGAGCCTTCATTGTAACAGTCGCGGGTACTGTGTATGTGCGTGGGGATTGTTGCAGTAGAAAATTCCACTGTAGCGACCGGTACATTAATGGGAAGCCCTAAATGTTTGAGCACTCTATGAAACGTCAAGCTACCCCACAGCACCCCCAAAAGAAATCTCTGGCGCCGCCACTGAGCCTGCAACCCCGTTTTGAAGAAATGTGCAGTGCAAAACAGGCTCATTGCAGCCACTAATGCTGTGAAGACACACTGGGCTAATGTCACTATTTTTATGACTGTTTTGATTTATCCCACTTGAATTATCCTCAGTAAAACAAACAATGATACGGGGTGACATTTTTATTACCATCATAATGACAATATGTGTTACACAATGTAGCTTAATTGGTTTAAATTATCCCGAAGGGACACACAAATAAACCATTATCCATTAACTCAGTACAAACGGTTTAAAGTGGATCCATAGAAAACAGACAAAGCTGAAACTTGCTTAAAAACCAGAAAGCTGTTATTAAAAAGGAGAAATCCCAGACATCAACTATACTGCTGTCTGATGAATGAATGACTTTATGTGGCCCATTCTACACACCTCCAGTTAAAACAACTGCTCAAAAGAGAAGAGATCCTTAAAATGTTTTAAATTACTTTGGGCAACAGAACTAGAGAGAGTAGATATCAAGAAAATGTATCATGTTTAAGACAGTAAGACTTTGTTTTATGCTCCTGTGTGCCACATAAAAGCATGATCTTACGCTAATAGTAAAGTGAGAGAGATTTATCTGACAGAGGTTATATTTGAATGAAACCAACTTTGTGTCCCGTCCCTTAATATTCTTTATTGCTCAGATCTGTGTTGCTCAGCGATGTAGTTCACCCACAACTGAAAACAACAGCATGGCTGTTACAACTCGGTGAGAATGAATCATCTACATTAGTCACCTAAATGACTGATATCTGACATTATGGGGCATGTTACTCTTTCCAAAAACACATGTAGACATTTACATCATTTTCATCCCTATTTGGAGCAAATAACACATTTAAAACTAATGTCTGTCTAATGCAGGGGTCGGCAACCTTTTAAATTCAGCGCATGATGCCGAATTTAACAAACAAATTGAAATAATTGGTTTAAACGGCATAATAATAATGACGATCGCCCGTTCTGTGATTCTCCAGAACACACAGATGGCCAGTCCGCCCCTGTGTAGCATGTTATTTCGATGAGAGATGAGCAGATCGCCACTGGGCTTTCAACTAAAGACACAGCCACGCAAAAACTGCGGTATTTGTACAGCTCCTTATGGGTACTGCAATTTGTGAAGTGCTTTCCTCTGTGGTGAAACGATCAGCCCTGCACCACGGAGGAAAGCGGCAGAAAGTCACCTGGAGTTAAAGAGAGCGGGGCTGCGCTGCGTGCATGGCTTCCTTCTGCAGGTAACGGGGAGACACGCTCTGGCGGCGGTCTCGTTCAGGATCCGAAAATAACATTTAAATATTTTTGCACACTTATTCCACTAATTCCTAGTGTGCCACTGGCTACGGTGCCGCGTGCCACCAGGGGTTGCCGACCCCTGGTCTAATGTCATGTCAGATCTCAACTTTCATAAAATGAGTTGTGATATCAGTCTACCTTGTTAACTGATTACAGGTAAAAGGATTTCTGTCTAATGTGAGTGAATTTTCTTCTGAATCTCTGGCTTTGTTATGTGAACTGAAGCTATAAAGTTTATATTACAGGAATCCCAATTGTTATCATGTTGTTTCATTTCAGAACAGCAACAAGACAGTTGGTATTCAGGACTATACTTGTGTTGTGATCACAGTCTGAATGTGTGGTGCTAGCCGACATGTAGTAATATAACAATACCTTGGGGGGTTTGAAAGGGTAGTCAGGTGTGAAGGCGATGTCCAGGAAGAAGACCCCTCCCTCGTACACGGAGCCCGGCGGTCCCAGGATGGTCGACCTCCACTCATAGATGTTGTCTCCTTTGGGGCCAGCACTGCAGGCACAGATAAAGATTATCACTTAAAAGCAGCAAAAACAACTTTACTATCCGTAATGCAACTTCTACACAATAATTCTCTGACTGGAAGCATCCACTCATCTGAAATGTCAATACAATTAATCTGCTACTGATGATGCACAATGATTCATATTTGAAAACTTTGAGCATGAATGTTTTTCTCATCTTTCATGGTCAACAGTGTTAACTATTCTTTATTACACCGTCTTATCTGTTATGCAGAGGCAGAACAACAACATCAGGGAAAACAAACGGACCATAACAAAGTTAATCTCATACTAAATACTGCATAATAAACAAAGTTAGAGGAAAAGACGACACCCACACACCAAGGAAGACAGTCAATATTTATGAAGGCAGATTATAGGTTTCTGTTGCTTCAAAAGGAGGAAACTGGATCTACATCAATGGAGCATTCAATGAAGAGTGTGCTACAGAATGAAAGTCACACATTCATTCATGTACTGTGTATCACATGAAGAATCGCTAACAACTAAAGCTCACTGGCAGCTCACTGGAGGATGTGGGCGTTGTTTTTGACGTCTTCAATCAGGCATTGAACCAAAAGCAACTACAAATGCCCCTTTCCATTCAAGATCTGCCCAATGTAGGATTAAAGGGACATTCCACCAAAATAAAGCAAGTTCACTCTGCAGGAGAACACTGTAAACATGTGCATCACTTCTAAAGCTCAAAATGATCAAGGGCGAAAACCTCATTGGATTCTTTTAACTGCACTGCCTTTGAAGGATGAATGCAAATCTAACACGTTATGTGTCAAATTAATAATTACAATTGTAAAATGAAATGCACTCGCACAAGTACATTTCACAGATTATTGGTCATAAAAATGTAATTTTTCTTTTTAAAATGTGGAGTGATGAAAGATTCATTTCCCTCGTGCATCATTCAGAAGATGCCTCAGTTCAAAGCAAATCCCCAGCGATGTGTCTATGCGTCATGATCTGTTATCTGTATTGATTTTTCCTCTAGGCAGCCCGGCCTTTATCCCTCTTACATGCAGAACATGTGGTCTTAAACCCCCTGGGGTCGTGAGCACAAGACATCATAATATTGATCCAAACTGTCAGGGGGGGAGGGAGGGGGGGGGCAGATTTTGTGCACTGCTGTGCTTTTTGATCAACGTTTACACGTTTGGCAGTTTCAGCTACAGTAGAGAAAGTCGATCCAGAAAGCGCAGTTTGGACTAATTAACTTGGTCTTAAAAGATATTACTGGAAATGTGACACATGAAAAATGTCCGTCCTATTAAAGACTTTGAGTTCAAGTGGATGATTTTAATGACATTTCCTCTCAGCCTTAAACACCATTTTACTCTTATCAGCAGTCATGATAATCCATTAAGGGATGCAATATATACTGATAGAGGATCCATTCATTGAGCTTCATATAGTTATGACAGTGGTGCAAAGAAGCCTTTTCCATAAATCAAAGCACTAAGTCACGTGTATAGTTTCAGTACAGCTGGCTATCTTTCATGGCTGCACTATGAAAATGTGTTCAAGATGGAAACTTTGAGCGGAACAGCTTGAACTTCTGGAGATGCAGCTGCAGAACTCATTACTGTACAACTTCAGATAGAAACTCACAGCCAGTGTTTTTAATTTAATGAGATGGATTTTTATATACAGCTGAAATAACTATTCTTTAATAGATGGACAGAAAATGTATGTAACAAAATCTAGAGACTGCAGCTTCTCCTTTGTGATCATTTTCAGTTTTTTAGAGTTTTCTATTATTGCTAAATGAAATGCTCTTCTGATCAGAAAAATAAGATTTTTTCTTTTTTTTTATATTTCCTCATAAGCTGAATAAGAAAAATATCTGATGATTAGGATAACAATAATTATTGGTTGCAGCCTTTATAAAATCAACCAATAAATTAATAATCCACACAATATATTTGGCAATATTGACAGTGTTTTTTGGGACTCTGAACAACTGCTGTCATCAACCATCTGTTGATTTAAAGCTGTACAATAAACACATTTGAACTACATAAGAAATAGCCAGAAAGGAATACAAAAATACTCAGGTCTTTAGTTAATTAATTAAAATAGATTGAATGCGGATGTGCTACATTCCTCCTCCATAAAAAGCTTGAGAGTTGAGATTTTCACATTATGAACATTTAGGTAATTACATATAACATTATCATATCATACGAGGTCAATTTAACTTGGCTTTTAATCCATCATGTGCCAGGGCAGGTATTGTGTTAAGCTGTCACACTTCATTGTTGTAATTAGGTAGTCCATTATGAATTTGCCTAAATGACAGAAGCCGGTTGCTGAAAGTGCTGTTGTCCTTCAGATGCAGTCATCCGTCATTAATCCACTATTCAAGTCATTAACTTAACCAAGAACTCCATCATGCTGCTGTCATGATCCGCACAGAAACAAATCCCCGTCTGAGTGTCACTCAAAGCTTCAATTGAAATGTTCAGCTCTTAAGAAGGAAAGCTTGTAAAAGGGTTTACTAGGCATTGATATATATAAAATCACTGAATCGTAAAAGCAAATATTGTGAGTGCGCGTCAATTTATCAATTCATATAACTTTTTAACATTTTAAACAGCTGTAAGCACACACTCGCACCCTCTGGTGAGCGGGAGGGTTCATCTCAAGGAGTTTTTCCTAATAAATATCTACAATTTAAACAAAAGAATATTTGTGCTATGTTGTTAAGTCTAACATTTGCTCATGCCATGTTCGTCCCAGCAGCAAACTAAGCTCAGTTTTAGAAACAGACTACGTCCAAATGAAGGCTGGTTGTCTGTAAGGTTGCGAGAGAATAGAACTGCAATATTTTCCTGCTCAGCCTGTGAAGCAGATGTTTAAAACATGATAGAAAGTCTAAAGAAACAACAGACAAATCTAAACAGAAAGACTTTTCTTCTGAATTATGCGACTGTGACAACAAAGCTGTTTTCTTCAAGTTAGCAACAAATATCCAGACGGTGGACATTTTTGGGATGGTCCGACTGTGGCCTGAGGTGGCTTGTTTGATCTCCTGAGCTATGAGGAGAAAGATTGCTCTGTTTATCTTTTCTCCTTTCACAGGAAGGTCAGAGGTCAGGCTCTGCTGCAGAACAGCAGCCTGGAGCAGGGAGGGCTTCAGTGATTTGCCTCAGGACCCTGCAGGAGGGAGGACACCTGCTGCGAGGGGAGCTTCAACCCAGACGGTCTGCTTTTAATAATAATAATAATAATCTTTCAAATCTCCAAATTAAAGAAAGCCTAGCTGCAGTCCCAGCCAAGTCATCATGCTTAATAACATATCAATATATATGTGTTGTGTTGCAAAGCCAAAAATATTCAGTTTATTACCATATGTGACCTGCTCTATCGAAATCAGTCGCATTGACCCAAAGACACATTTTGAGTTGTATACACTGTTGGAAAGAGGAGATTCCTAGCTTTCTAATGATATCAGGATTGTTTTTGTACTCCAAATATTAAGCAAAATGTGTCACATTATATAATGACTGTCACCGAGTCATCATTTTGAGAAAAAGGCCTTCAAAGTTTCCTCTTCTCTGGAATCCATCGATCTGATTGATTATTAGCGGAGCAAATGATCAAAATAGTCCGGAGGGAAAATATTTCCGTTTGGATTACTGGTCTGGGGGAAGCTCGCGAGTGTGTGTGTGTGTGTGTGTGTTTGTGTATTTTTGCGTTTGTGTATATTGTGTTTGTTTCCCGGGGAAAACACTCACGAGAAACACCGGCTGTTGTTATGCCTGCTGTGATGTTAAGTGACTCCGTTCTCCGCTTGTAATTATGCCGTTACAAGCTTCAAAGTTGTATTTATCATCTAAATTTGCCGAAACAAGTTTAATATTCTGAAAGGCAGGACTTTGTTTATTTGAAATCAGATGAAAACAAACAGTAACGGACCCTGCCGTGTTATCTATGATTACTATACGCCTTACATTCATAATTTCAGCCGGAGGGAGGGGGGGCGGCGCTGCGGAAGAGCAGATTGCGAGTGAGAGGTGCCTGTCCTCTTCCCTTTACAAGCTTCAAAAATGTATTTATCGTGTGATTTTGGAAATAAAAGTTTCATATTCTGAAAGCCAAGACTAAAAAAAATAGTTTTTTTACGCAAATCCACGTTTATTTTGAAATGAGCCGTTGCGACTTCCGACTGATTTCGATAGAGCGGGTCACATATAGTAAAACGATGAGAAGCAGTACATTTCAACAGTTGAGGAGCTGTTCCCACCAATGATGATTTGATAGTCAAAAGGTTGCAGGTTAGTTTTATATCATCGACTAACTGATTCATTGTATAGGCTATAGATACCATGACCTTTCATCAGTTCTGAATGGACTTTAAAAAAAAATGCCACCAGCGACGACACTAAGTAATGAAAGCAATCCATATTTATTATTGTTTCTTAGTGCCTGTCATTAAAAAATGTAACAGTGTTATATATCTTTGAGGATTGCATAATGAAAATTCCCGCAAGCCTAAGAATAGATTTGGTCTAAGAACATCTTCCCTTATAATTAAGATATAATGTGTAGTTATAGCAGCATGTTACCTTGCACAGTGAGGAATGATCACAATTAATAAGATAGAATAGTGGGATACGGATGAGTGCTTAGTGTCTCAGTTAGGGTATTACTACAATGAGTAAAGGGAGAGAACTAGTGGGATCAGTGTTCTCCTAATGAGTTCACTAATGGACAGACAACAGACTTTAAATCAAAGAGTGAAGCCCACCTGCAGTTCGGCGGAGGGTCCAGTGTAATATCAGCCAGCTCTTTCTGAATCCTGCACACAATGAAACAAAAATCAGTCACTGGCCCAACATCATACCTCAACATAAAAAAACATGATCATTATAATGAAGATATGTGATGTCCTTTGGCCACGGTCAAAATGTAAATAGATAACCGTATCATTGATATCTGATCTTCTGAGCTTTGATTTACATTTTGGATTACAACATGCCGTTGTGAGGTTTCTTGTGTAAATGCAGAGCAACATTGATTGTGAAAGAAAGATACACTAAAAACAAGAGTGTGAGAGGTTTTGTTTCAATATTTTCCCAGGGGAGAAAAAGGAAGTTCTGAGCCACTCATTCAGATCTTGTCACACATTATCTTGTGAGTGTGTACATTATGGCCAGAGGAAGCTAATTTCTAGTAAGAATTAGTGGAACTAGTTTTCCTAGTCTTCCTCTTTTATGATGGATTTCTTCCTCCATGACAGATGAATGATAATGTGTGGTAGAAGTATTAGGAAACATTGCTTGTTCCTCTGAAATTGACAGTTGATGTTTCTGCATTTTTCTTCTATCAAACTTTATTGCAGATGCTTGGGAAGTATCACAATGACTACTCATGTATTCATGCAAAATATTAGCTAGAAGCGAGCGACCAGTTTGTTTAACATTTTTGGTGTTTTTCTTCAAAAAAGTAAATCCTAAAATACTCCCAGAAAGAAATCAGACTGATTTTGGCTTGTCAGAATATACAAAATGATTCATTAATAAACAATCTGTGGATTTATTTTTACCTTTTGGCGCTGGTGGAAAGCAGTTTGGAGGTCTTGCTCATACTGGCTTTGCTCTCCCGTTTCTTTTTGCAAAACGTGTCCCTCTGTCTGGTTTGGCTGGAAGAAGGCGGTGATGAAGAAGAGCTGGTGCTGGCACGAGAATCCTCATCCGACATACCGGTTTGGATTGGAGAAGAGCCGGGACCTGATGGAGAGAAAAACAAGAAAAGCTAAATACACTCAGTAAAACACCACAGCTGCAAGAAGGTAGAGTAGTTTCATAATGATTTCAAACCAAAACAAATGCTAATATGCCCTCAGTGAGGCCACAATAGCCGATATGTTTCATAATACACAAGCTACTTTCACTATATATAAACATTCATTTGCATATTTTCATGAGCAACTGCTAGTAGAGTAGAATTAAACTACATTTACTTAATACCTTTAGTTACTTTGCAGCTTTGGATTAATGATGTGAAATATAAACAGCACTTGAATAAGACTTTGATTACATCTGGAGTAACATTCACAAGCTACCCTGACTTATGCAAAGTAAATCACATTTGCAGCTTTGATAAAAACATTAAAGCATCAATAATTATGACCAAAACATACATTAGCCAATGTACATAATGTGCACTTTTAGTATATTTTCATGGCAATATTGTTGTACTTTAAGTGAAGTAACATTTTGAATGCATGACAATTACTTGTAACAGAGTATGCCTGCATTCTGGTAGTTCTAGTGTTATTTAAGTACAACCTCTGAAACCAGGGGAATTGTAGGCTAGTTATGCAGTGTTTATGTGTGTGTGAGTGGGCGTCACACACAGCAGGTAGCTTCTGCACTTTAATTTCCACATATTTATCGTTAGCTAACGTTTCCGTGACGGGGAACGAACTGCCATTAGCCAACAAGCTAGCGAAGTGCACAGTTCACACATCCAAGTTAACCACTTCACACCTGTAAACTCAAGACCATAGTTATTATATCCTAATACATGTAGAGGTTTAGTAATCTCTTGGTGACCCTGGCATAAACACAGCTACCTGCAAAACGATTGCCCCCCTCCCCCTTTAACTCAACGAACACCCAGGCCCTACGACTTAAGGGATAAGACTACTTCTTGGAACGGCGTGGGGGAAAGCTGCTTGCTAAGCATCCTTCACAAGTGATCGGACAACCGGGTAACCGTAACATAAACGTACACATGGATTGCCTTAAGAGTTCAACATAACGTTACAGCGATGTACATCAAAACAGACCGTTAAAAAATACATCCCTAGGCTAGAAATGACAACGAGACATTAAACGCGTCAGACAGCAGCCAGGAACAACTCCGTTCCAGCACATAGTCGGAGCCCCTTTTCCGTGCAACCAACTAACCACGACCGTGTTGTTTCTTTTCACCCAACAAACTGACCTTCGACTTCACTTGGAAACGCACACTGGCAGCAGACCGAACCGCTAACTTTGACCATTCGGTAAAATGTCGTCCCTAGATCATCTATTTTTTCTCGCTAATTAAACTTACCCAGTCTATTGTGTCTGGACCTCCGCCACAGTCTAGGCTGGCTGGTGCCTGTCGCCCTCTGCGGAACGGAAGTAGCCTACCGCGGCTGCAGTGGGCTGTACGGCCCCGGTCCTACTCTGGAAACAAGACAGTTTACATTATGACGACTTTAATACAGATTAACTAATGTGTTCATTCAATTTAACTGATTTATTGTTATCTAAACAGCATTTTGCTCCGGCACATTTGTTTGCAAAAGCAAGTCGATCTTTGAGTTACATTAACTTCATTATTTGAGCAGATGGTGGTCTGATTCAAGTCTAAATACCAAATAGTCTTAATCAACACATGCTAAATACATAATTGTTTCATTCGTTTTTTTTCTTTTTCTATATTTGATAAAAAAAAAAAATTAAACTCACAATTTATTAGGTGATGATAATTACTATCTGGCCACTAATTCAATGCCATTTCAATGAGATGATCTGGAAAGGATTATCTGTTGTTTACTATAGTCAGGGAGCTAATCTAGACCTTCAGCAATGACTAAATTGTTGCATCACTTGCCACAGAAACTGAAAAACCACTTAAACTGAGCGGGTCTGACTCATGTCTAAGAAGGTATTATTATAGGGCCAGTGAATTGAAAATATTCATTGCTGGAAGGCTGCAGCCCGAGGAGCCCACTTTAAATGTGGATGATATGTCCAGTTTGTAATTTTGTAAGGAAGAGCATCAATTCTCTGCACTTTCTGCATCCTTCATGTGCAACCAACCTTTCAAACCCATTTTATTTGAATTGCATCATGGTGCAATTATTGATAAATGACATATTAAGAGATTTGTAAGCTGGAACAGGTGCTCTAAAGCAGTTTAACGAGTCGTGCAGAACAGTATGTACTATTACCTGCTGGTGGATGTGTGTGTTTAAAAGGTTAATAGGGTCTCTCATTTCGTACACCGCTGGGTAAATATTTTGACAGTAGCATGTGCTCATCGTTAACCCTTTTAAAGTCCTGAATAATGTATTTTCCATTTGTACTCTCTTAAGTTACAGAACGAATAAACCTTTTCACACCTCATCTGTCTGCTTCAACACTTTATTGAGACTGTATAATGAGTAAAACCCAGGATGCATGATTCACAGTGGAGTGAAACTTGAGGATTTATGCTCCAATATTCACCAGCACAAAGACCAGAAGGAGCCATTGAAGAACAACATGTCATTGTTTTAAGATCACGCTAATGCTAATTAATTCAGACAAGTGTAATTACTGTAACAAATGAATCTAATCCTTTTCTTTAATCGTTGGCCAATATTTGTATATCTCCTGTTGTAGGCTACTTTTAGCAGCCATTAATAAGGCTGGAGGCAACAACAGACTTGGAAAAGATGCGCAACATGTTGTCGCACATATCAAATGACCTGAATTGCGTAATCTTTTCTGTAACCAGCCTTGGTGTTACAATTTCAGTCCAGTTTGTTGTCAAGGTGAACTCAAAGGCGCCTGTACTTATCCACCACCTCCTCTCCCAGAATGTTAATGTGATCAACAGCAGTCCTTGTTTTCCTGAAGTCTATGACCATCGTCTTGGTTTAGGTTACTTTGAGAGGTATGTGGCTCCCTCTGCACCGCTGTACTGTACCTCAACAGCCAGTGGCGGACTGCCCATCGGGACGTTCGGGACGAATCCCGATGGGCCGGTACCGATGTGGGCCGGCCGGATAAGTCACTAGCATTTTGTTTCCCAACTTCAATTGAATATTGAAATAACTTTACTCTGCAATAGACTGACACCCTGGTTTACCTATAGCATGCTTTGTTCAGATAATGACCTATATTTAAGATTGTCAAGGTAGCCTACTGTTCAGAAATAAATAAAGCAAAGGAGAGGTGTCATGCTTTTCCGGTTATTACCCGTCCCCTTGTGTGTTATGAAGGTTTTTATGCATGTAAACGGTGTGCAGAGTCAAAACCCTCAAAGTACACCCTATAGCGAGTAAAACTCTAACACAGAAAATACCTCCCCAAAACGCCTCGTTGGAGATACGTCATTGTCCATTTGATTCTTCCGGGTACGGCATGATGTCAACCCGTACCCGGAACGAAATGGACCAATCCGTGGAGCCATTACGTTACGTCCGCGGAGCCGTTACGTTAAGCCCCCGCTGATTGGTCCAAATTGACCAATCCACGGACTTCCTCACACACACATCTGTGTGCAGGGAGCAGGCAGCTCAGCTGATTTCTCCTCCCTGGCTGCAGGCTGATAACAGACAGTTGGGATCGCGGCGAAATTCTCTCTGCAGACCCATTCTCACAGTGTTTATCAACCTTTTTCTTAATCAATATCAAGCCACACTTATTGTTTTTACTTCGGCTGTGAGTTTGTTTGTGCTCAGGATGAGTTTGGCTGTGTTTCGCTATGTATCCTAAACAAGGAAACAACACCTCCACGGAGCTCAGCGCGATTCACAACGTCCCGACCAATCAGAGCACACTGTGCTCACAGGGAGGGTGGGGGCTGGAGCTTTTGGAGCTACAACGAGCCGTTAAAGGCAGAGAGTGAAATTCAGTGAATACAAGTAGTTTACAGAGATGCTGTATGAGAAACCAATGTGAGTTTGGAAAAATGCACAATATAAATCTATTCTAGTATACCTCAACAATGGAATTATGATCAGTGGAAATGGCCATGACACCTCTCCTTTAAAATCTTAAGAGCGGTGACATCAAGAGTTGTATCTCTGTTGAAAAGGTTGTTGTGTGTTATTAGGGTTCTGTGCTTTGACATGTTGTGGGGGTTATAACCTTTTGAAAAAGGTGAGCTCATGCTGGTCGGGTCAAGTGACTTGGATCTGTTAAAACGTTATCTGTCTCATTTAAATGTCTTCTGAAGTGTTTTGGTGAGTGTATCGAATTTGTCTTTTTACAAGGAGTGACCCATCAATAAAAAGGGGTGGCGTTTTAAGCAGATTTATGACAATACATGTTCATTCTAAATATCCTGGTTTCTAATTCTACAAGCTTAAGTAAGTGCTGCATTTTATTTAAAGGAAACAGGTGAGCATCAACATGCAACAGCGAGTGACTGCATTATACATTTTTGTATTATTTGCCAATGGCTATTCCTCTTAATGTTGGGTTAAGTTATGCTTCTTGAAATCTTACCTTATAAAGCATCAGTTGTCCGTTTTGTAGATATTTTGATGGACCACAACTCTGAAGTCAACAGGTATTCTAGCAACTTTTAGCGATTTTGGCACAGCTGTGCTTTTGAGTTAAATACTATCCTCGACCTGCAAACATGCTCACGATTACAATGCTTAAATGCTGATGTTAAGCAAGCTTAGGGTTTACAACTCCAGTTTAGTCTATTCTGTGACAAACACTAAATACAAATTACAGCAAAGCCTGGTGGGAATATCATTAGTTGTGCAGCTTTTTTTTAACGCAAAAGGCCTTGTATTTGAAAAACTACTTTGAAATATATATTATTCAGGAACTAACAAGAGACATCGCAGACCTGGATTATAGCTTAAACACAAATCACAGACTATCATGGAGAACCATTCATGAGTTTCTCAGGTATGCTGCAGGCAGGAGACTCACAAATGAAAACATCACACCTCCTTGATGTAATAAAAGCTACAATATAAGGCAGGAGTCATAAGCAGTCATCTGATAAGAACTTTATTATATTTGAGCTGATGTTTCAGATTGTAAAGTTTTACAATCCGGCGTGTGAGACTTTAAGCTGTCCTGAGCTGTGTTAGAAGATCAGTGAAGAGGTGTAAATATTTGAGGCTGTAGTCAAACACAAATCCCAGACAGAGCCGAGCGTTTTCTCACAAGCCGACCACAGTGTGTTTTATTGGGTGCTTCAGTAATACAAGTGCACAACAAACCACTCTGCAATTGCAGAGGTGGCGGGTAGCCAGTAAATATACAAGTCCTGCCTCTTTCACAGGCAGACCTATACTTTTGTGGTCTGCCTCAAAAGCCTTTGAAAAAATACATACAGTACAAACAAAATCAGAGGAAGGACCCATTGACTTAAACCTTCCTGTTCCATGCAGATTACATATTGATGACAAATACAAAACAAAACAAGGAAAACAAAGTAAAAGCATATATTCTGCATGTTTGTTCCAGGTGCCACTAAGAAAATGAGAATACATACTGTATAGCTGAAGGACAATGCGTATGATATTTATAATATTCTGTGTTTTTTTTTTTTCTCCAATACAATACTTCCAACATTCAGATATTGGAAAATAAAAATCCCAATCTACTCTTTGTATAAAAAAAGAAGCTTTCAAGTCAACAAGGAACAAAGGACATTTTTTTGTCTTATTTGATTATTTTTTTTAACACAGAAAAGGTAGATAAAATGTTGGGGTTGAGGAGGAAGAGGAGGCAGGTGAAAGGAGGGCAGGTTTACCGTTGCACTTAGTGAGTGTGCTTTGACAGACTAAGGGTGAGAGAGAGAGGTAGAGAGAGGTACAGGGGGGGGTGGTTGGTAGTCTATGTGGCGTATCTCTTCGTCCATTGTTTGGCTATTCTGTCATGCTCTGTTCTGTTGGTCAGGTACTGTGTGGCGATGCTCCCCACCAGAGGGTCAGCTGAAAGGTAAATAAACAGAGAGAAATTATTAAAATCATTAAGGATTATCAATCACTAAGCAGGAGTCACAAACAGTGGAGCTACTGTTAACAAAAACAACTTTTCCAAACATTTTTATCCTCTCAGGCTCAGATTATGTAAACGTTAGTGCAAGGGAGAAAATGAGTTATAAAACAACATTTTCGATTGGCTCTTTTGAAACTTGCCAACAAGGACTGTTTTGGTTATAAATACACAAATATAATAAATCTGCCAACACATTTTGTAGATGATAAACGTTCATCAACAAGCTATAACTATTGTAGCGCATATTACATCCTTGAAAATGTAAGGACCATTTTTGAGATTCCTTTAATTGTACAATTTGCAAATTTGACTATTTATAAAGAGCATTAGAACTATGGTCAAAATGGATTCCCTTAAGTTCCTCCTCATTGTTAACCATGATAGATATAAATGCCATTTGATTTCATTCAAGATCATATAGCAGACTCATGTA